GCAATCATCACTTTTTATATTCCCTTGTCAATTTTGTGAAATGGGGAGAAGAAAAATTTAGGTAAACTCACCATGTATGGATACAATGGAGGAGCAGAAGCCACTATTGGAACTGCGGCAGACATGACTGGAATGGATGCAGCTACAATGGGAGCAGGAGCAGCTACAGAAGGTGCCTCTGAAAATAAAACCTTGCATAAAAACATCAACTCACAGTAGTAATCCTAATATTCTCCCACCACAAAAGTAAACGAAGATATTAAGATGACAGCATAAAGACTTAATAAGGATCTAATAGAAAAAATAAATAGTGGAACCAACCTCCAAAACTGTACGTATGCCCAAAGCTAGCATCGGATCTGGAACATAAGCTTTAGAGACAACGAAATCTGTTGTTGCTGCGGTTTCCTAATAGAATTAGGAGCCCAGTAAAACTCAGTGGACCTACTTTTGAGCCAAGACGACAATGGCTGCAAGCACAACGTAGAATGAACTCATAATGCAAACAATGATGGTATTGATCATTCAGATTCCTTCTCATTTATACCAATGTAGTTTCTAAAGAACTACAAAGAAACCTGAACAAGCTATTCATGACGAAAACATGGTGTCAAAAGCTGATGAGAAAAGGACTTTCTTTCTTCTGAATCCTCCAGTAAAGGAGAATAAAAGGTGTTTGAGTGCCAAACACTTTCAGAGCGCTCGATTCGGAGAAATGAACTCATGCTTGATATAAATTATGATGAAAATGTAAATAAGAAGATAAAACGCTAGAATATAAAGTGTCATTGAAAGCCAAAACGCATTGTAGATAATCTGCGACTAGGAATAAAACAGTTCAATGTGAATATTTAAACTGAATGAAGTAGTTTCCGAATAAAGAACGCTATAGATTTGTAGGATTGATAAAAAAAACGTCTTCATATACAAACTGTAATAGCACCGAACGTACAACAAATCTGACTAAAAACATGCAAAGAATTAGAAGAACAACTCAACAGAAAGTGTGCCGGTAAATGATAACTCTAGCTTATTAATAACTTTGCAAATTTCGTTATTGTGGCAGTAAATCGAGGTGAAAACCCAATTAAATGAGTCAAACAAGAA